AGCTTCCACTAAGTGGTATCGCATCCGATACCTCGTCAATCGAAAGAATATCTATCATAACACGAGTAGATTGGTGATAAATCTCGGTTGATCTCTAGTGCTGTTGTTGCTACATGTCTTCTTTGGTGCGTGTGGAGGGTGAGGAATGAGTTTGTTTTCCAATATAAATGCATGTCGGTTTATAGTCTCAAAGTAGCAAGGAGAAAAGAGAGTGAAGAATTTTAGCACTGCTGCTGGAGCCAACTTCTTCCGGTCACAAACTTCTTCCTCATGTTCCCGCAACCCAAAGCTCCTTCCCAAAGCTTCTTATAACTATCGTGAGAAGTCCACAATGCTGACTACCTACTTTGCAAATTCTACCCATCGAGAGCACTAACGTGTTTTCTAAAAATAACATATGTTTTCATGCACTCATAATGAATAGATTAACTTGATACTTATTTTAATCTATATGACTATAGTAGAGAGGATAGGATGATGCTTGAGCGACTCATGTTGACCAAACATAATCGAATGGTTGAAATCCTATCTTCGAACAAATAACGATAAAGACATACAATGGACATGATTTAAAAAGCTCGTACGAAAAGAATTCTATCCTATGGGGTATCTCGAAGAAAGATGGAGGAGATGACACTACATATATTAACAAAGGGATCAATCCGTAAGAATACACTATTGAGTTCTGACAACAAGTGGTGGCACTCAAAATTTCCCTCGACAACCACTTGACGATAATGAAATACACCATTGGCCTCCATGCTTAGATAAATATTGGACTGAGCTTCTTTAAAATTCTACCTACTTCCCAAATTCTACCTACCAAGAGTACCAATGTGTTGTCTAAAAATAATCTACATTTTCATGCACCCATAATGGATAGATCAACTTGATAGTTTTTTAATATTTATGACTATAGTAGCGAGGATAGGGTGATGCTTGAGTGACTCATGTTGACCAAACATGTTCGTATGGTTGAAATCCTATCTTCGAACTAATAACGATAAAAATATGTTATAAACACAATTCAAAAGGCTTATACAAGAAGAATTCTACTCTATGGGGTATCTTGAAAAATGATGGAGCTTCTTCAAAACTTACTATGTCACAATAGCAAGAGTGATAGAAATGACAATCAAGAAAAGGAATTGAACACACACCGAGAAGAATAGAGAGAAGGCAAAAGGGAAGCACCCGAAAGCCAAGAAGAATCTTTTAAAGCTTGCAATATGGGATATTAATGTGGGAAACCGTGTTGGGGACCGTTTAAGAGGACACACTATAATTTCCATGTTAAGTTTGCATGCATAATAACAATTTGGAGATCAAATAGCGTCCAATTAACATTCATTCAAAACAATAAAACATGTTTAAATGAACTTTTTCTTACCATAAACTGTACACAGTTCTGTAGCATAAAAGCTAATTAGAGAAGTCGTGACCAGTTTCTCGTGATGTAACAAAGAACAGAAACGTCAACTCATTTATTTTTATCACATATTATTATACTATCATAAGAATACTTTCCACAAAGTTAAGTTATATTATTCCATAAGAATATACAAAAAAAGCGACTCTGTGGCCCAATGGATAAGGCGCTGGTCTACGGAACCAGAGATTCTGGGTTCGATCCCCAGCAGAGTCGTGTGAAATCAATTTTATTTTTTTATTATTTTTTAGTGAAAATACATCTATTTTTCGATTAAATTAAATATATTTTTTATTTAAATAAAAGCTAGCTTCTTACCTGGCCATATAGATTCATGGTGTGGCAGCAACATGATTTGAGATGTGCAAGCAGGCCTTTCAAGGACTTCGCAGTTGCTCAATGCAGCAGAGGCCATAGGGTTTGCAAGATCTCAATGCAGCAAATTATGAGAGACAATGGACATCATCACTTGAACTTCATGTGTACACAGAGCAGCTATGGATGATTGTTTATACATCTTGTTTTCATCTATGTACATATTCCTTGCAGAAAAATATCAGCTACAGGAAAACAATGTATAGGCTCAGGACTCAGGAGTCCAATGTAACACCACTTCCTTGGCGCTTGTTGCTTCCTTCCTGTCATCTTCCTCAGTACAAGGAGATTCTGTTCACCAATCCTCTTCAGATGCATGTATTATTACAATGAGGACCATCGAGACCTACCGCCTCTTAGTGTACAACTATATATCGTGATCCAAATCCGCAAAACACTTCTCTCGAGTTCTATATCATGCTGCCATAGTTTGATATAATTTAGATATTGGAGGTAACTACCGTTGCTCAAGTTGCAGAAACCTTCAAATGATCGAAGCCAGTATCAACAGTGCGACGGTGATATCACACGGTGCAGCGTCCAGGACTCATCTCGTGCCTCCTCTCATCAAAGCCAAAGCTCTGCAGGCTTGGCAAGCAACAATGCCCAGTTTTCCAGGTTTTCTCTTTCCCGCTCTTCGGATCTCTATTTGGTGTCACCTCACTGCTGCAGATAAAACATGCTCCAGAATGGTACAGAGTTGCATTTTCCGAGTTTTGAGGTTGGTCGGTGTTGGTTTTGTTTATGTCTGGCTTCACATTGCTGTCTACTCTTGCTTCAGCAGCATTGGGCACATTGACTTGCTCACTTTGCAAGGTCTCATGTAGAAGTTCAGCGAGTTTCTTTCTACCGGTTGGAGAGGGTTCCGAATTTGAGTCTGGATATTTTTCAGATGGAAAGTGGTTGTCAAATTGAGGGGTGACAGGTGAGTTTATTTGATGATTTGGAGTACTGCCTCGGGAAGGAGTGAATTCTGCATGAAGAAAATTATTCATCATAAACTACAAGAAAATTAGCAATGATATCTTGAGAAATAACTAATGTAGAAGAAAATTACATGCTCTGTAATTGCAGAGGTCATACCTCCATTCACACTTACGAAATCATCTTCACAGTCAGAGTCTAACCATGTTCGTGAATCGAAAAAGATATCTTCTTTACTGCTTTCTAATCCACAAAAACAAGTATTCGTCAATGGAACAATAAAGATAGCTAATGAAAGAGTTGAATCAACAAGATTAATACAACGTATGATATCAAATTTATATAGAAAAGGTCCATCATAGTATTCTTCAAGGCACCATTTGTTTATAGTTCAGTCGAGGAACATGGATTAAAGTCATGTTTGCAAACTAAAAAAACTCAAAACGCATCGCATTAGCTATAACTATTGTTTATGGTAAAACTACAAAATTAACCACACATTTTGTAGTTTGCTTGATTCTTGTAAAGGCGTTGTTATCTAAAATTACACTCACCTCCCTTTGACGAGAAGCAAAGAGAAGAAATGTTATTCTGAAAAAACAAGCTATGGCTTAAAAAAATGATCCGATGGAATAGAATTCAGTTGTTAAAATGAGACAGAAATCACCAAGACATGAGTTTCTAGGAAAGATAAAATGAAGGCCTGGGTTGAGCACGATGAGAATTTTATTTTCTTTCATGATAATGAGAGTGGTTGAAAGATGAGTATTATTCAGTACAAAACATGAGTTGATGCTATAAAATAGCAGAACTTCTTAGTTATGAGAATATGGCTGACAAATTGACCACAGAGAATATGAAAACAAACCAAGCTTGTCGCATATCAGCATCCAACATCAGTTATCGGTTTACAGTAAAACTTAAGCTGTCCAATGCGACAAGATCAGTATACTAATTTTGTTGCACACTACAAACTTCCACTAACTGAATTTTCCTAAGACAAACACTTCAACTACCATAGACTTGCACATAAGTTTGGTGCATGTATTGAGGTGAAAGGTCAGAAACCATATCAATCTACATAGGAGGTGATTTATCTAAAAGAAAGCAACATCAACAAGTAGTCAGATATCAAAGGTCACTATTGCTATGGATTCATTAGCACCTGATTCAACTTATACCACATGCAAGAAAGAGAATATTAGGAAGAAAAGCTCTTCTGACACTGTGCATAAAGAAACACCAACCTGGGCAAGTTAGCAGATAACCTTGTCCAAAGATCTCAGTGAACACAGAGTTCGTTGATTATCGAAATTCTATAAGTAAACTATACAATGATCGAAATATTGAAGTTGTGTGCAGTCAGAAAAGATCACAAAAACAATCGATTTCCCAGTAGCCATGTACAGTTAAAATTGTTGTCTTTCTTTGCACCATAAACACAAATTACCATCTATCAATCGAAGCAAGAAGAATAAAATTAATGAGATGAACAAAGAAAGAACAAACTGGTATCAATTGATGAAGACAAGGTTCGACTTTTATCACACAAAAAAGGACCTAAAAAGATCTAAAAGCAGATAAAAAGGACTTGATGCCAATAGGATACCATACCAAAGCCTGAGCTCTGGAAACCAAATCGATCGACCGGACTCCCCCCATTCAAAGTCCTGTCCTTGGCGGGCGACGAGACGAAGATCCTCTTGGCCCTAGAAACAAGACCCAGACGACATCTCATTGGGGAATCCGGATCTTTCTGGAACGAAGTGCAGGCTCCCATCTTCAAGATCGAACCTTTCTCATCACAGCCTCGCAAAGGTTCTGTTTCCTGCCAGTACCAGCAGGAAAAGAAAAAACGAATCGAAAGGCAAAGAAAAGTAGGCGTAAAAGGATGACAAGGGTAGCGGCGATTTGCTACCAGACTTAGTGAAGGCACGACAAAGAAACCACAAGCCCTCTTGCTCTGCACCTCTGAGGCATTTCCAGAAAGAGAGAGGGGAGTAGGCAGGAAGTAGAAGCAAAGGTCTCTTTTTGGTTCTTTGCTCGTGGAACAGGGGAGAAGTGCGAGTCCACCCAACGGAGGCCCCTCGTCGAAGGCCGGCTTGATGCACTTCACATGGGATTGGAATCAATGCCATGCATGGCCCTGCCATGACTAGGTAGGACCTGTTCGTGTCTCATTGCATTCGTTTGCATGATGCTGATGGAGGATTTCCATGTGCACCAACAGGAGCCGTCTCCTTCTCCTTTCCCACTTTCCCATGCACCAATCCATCTATCGAGAAAGCAAGAAACAGTGTTCTACTGATTGGCGATTCCATCGTGAATGATAAGAGTCTAAAAGCAACAAAATTGTTTATATGATTGAATAAGGAACTTTTAGAACGATCAAACGACTTAGAAAGTTATTTCGGAAGTAAAAAGATGTTTTTGGATACAAGACTTGGATTGTTTGGTTGAAGTGATTGTTATGTTGTCCTGTTAGAAATATTTTATTTGGTAGTGTTAGAAGATCTATCATGGTCGACTGTCCTAACCGGAAAAAGTGCCTCAAATCTCCGTCACAGAGTTGCAGTCCTTGTGAAGATGACTGCAGTGATCAACCAGCGACATTTATGGGTCACATTTCAATGATAACCACAATTCATCTTGTACTTCTCAACAAGTATGTATATCTCTCTGTTTTTCTGAGATCTTCATCATTGTGCGGTGGAGACGGCAATTATTTTTATGGCTGAGAGTGATTTCTGCATTCAGTTTGAGTAGCATACATATCTCGAGAGTTAGATATCAGTCCTTTTCATTTCAACAAGCACCTCATGTTCCAACCCTTTGCCGTCAGGCAGAGTTCTCCCCATCCTTCTTGTCGCCATTAATTACAACCTCAGCAGCAGACAAGATCTTTCTTCTTTTTTCTGAAGCTTCACACATTTTTGTCTGATTATTGAAATGTGGATGACAAGAAATGGGAGACTTGATCAGCTCATAGCCTCTCTGGATTCAGTAGTTGCAGGCTCTCTAGCCTTGATTTCAGGCATTTGCATGCATCAAATCAGGGATGAAAAGATATGGCTAGAAGCTGGAGTGGCCTTGGCCTTTGTGTGGAAGGTAGTGTTCCTTGGGACTGCAGATACCTGGTTATAATGTTTGGTTTGATCCAAACATAGTCAGCGAGAAAATGACAAAGAAAGAATGCTCGTAAGAATTTTTTTTTTTTATCATGTACGGTACTAAATTCATGAATATTTCATAAATTTTATCTCGATCGTTAACTTAAGTGTCGAAGGAGTCTTGCCAAGTAATACTTGTAATACTTGAATATATCCAAGATTAAGATTATGACATCAAAGCATCGACCTTAAAGTTTTTTTTCGAAAGTTGATTCTTAGACGAAAAGATTCGAAAAGATACACCAAGATTCTCAAATGTTTAGATCAACGATGAGGAACTACGATGATAACTAAGCACAAAGATCATGTCTGTCATGATGGATGGATGATCCACGATGATCATGAGAACTAAACAGTAGCATTAAGGAATGAGAATAGTCAAACAAACTGAACTCAGAGTATACCACATGGTGGAAGATACCAAAGTAAAGAATTAACAGTCAAAGTAATGAAAAGGCAAAGAAAGAAATTAAAGTTGATTCATCAGCTTGAAGATGATGATGTGACGAATGAGCAGAATTGTCATATCAACAAAATATTACGTTCTTTTTGGTGTCATTTCTCCGAGGTCTGTGGATGATCCCAGATCAATGGTTGAGAAGACAGAGACACACCAAGCCTTCTCTCTGGGCTCCCACATTTGCACTTCATGCATTCAAGATCACACCAACTAGCAGACAGGATTGCTGTAGAGCATGTGCAGCTTGGGGGACTGGGGACTGGGGACTGGAGAGTAGCACTTGGGACTGACCTCTCATTCCTGATGGTCATCGAGGAGGAAGTCTCAGTGGAGATCAGTAGCAGCAGAATAAGAAGAGCAAGCAAAACTACAAGCAGATGGCTGAAATTGATCATTGGCTTTCTTTTCTTCTCTTTTCCATGGTTTTCCAATCAGACACTCATCAATTCCACTTAGCAATCCTTAGGATCTCCACATGTAGTTTCTGCTCTCTCTTCGAGCTGTCCCTTAGCAATCCTAAGGATCCATTGATATCCTTAGGATATCAATGGACATATAAAAAAAATTATCTGTTGAGTATTCATATTGATATGTTGGATTTTGGAGGTGGTGTGACATGAAAAAAAAACTCCTTGTTATCTCTCAAATGACTCTAATATTATAATCTGACGAGGTTAGATGTTAGTGATCGACTTAATATTGACCTAACTTAGTTTACTTCAAGCTTGATTTGCATAGGAAATTATGAGCTCCCAAGATGGTCCGGTCCGATATACTCCTCTTACACAACGATTGATATCAGAAGTGGGCTCCCGATATGATCACTTGGATGAGCATCTTAGCTCTCGAGAGAAGGATTAAACCTCGATTATTATATCTAATTTTACTTTTTATAGTTAGTCCTCTTGCACAACTTGTCTTTTTGATTATTATAGATGGTCTGATCCTGACATATTCCTCTTGCAAAACGATTGATATCGGAAGTGGGCTCTGGACATGGTCACTTCAATGAGCATCTTAACTCTCGAGAAAAAGATTAAACCTCGATTATTATACCTAATTTTACTTTTTATAGTTGGTCCTCTTGTACAATTGGTCCTTTTGATTATTATAGATAGTCTGGTCCCGACATATTCCTCTTGCACAACGATTGATATCGGAAGTGGGCTCCTGACATGGTCCTCCAGTTGCTTATGGTTAAGAGAATATTTTTTGTAATAAAAAATATTATATTTGAATTTCATTGACACGATGCGAGTATTGGTTGAAGTCTTTTTATCCTTAATAATTGATTTGGATGATATATGTAGAGTTTCGATCAAAGATAAATATTTTTTTATTATTTATTCTTACCCTTCAAAAGTATACTTCAGACTCTCTAGTAAGGATCTCAAAGGATAGTAATTTCTTTGGCCTAATATGTTAATTGTCGATATTAATATTAGAATAATATTAGAGTAACCTAAGGAGGACACATAAAGTAAACTCAATAAAGAGAGTGTATCAAATCATCTTCATCTGGACGATTGACTCGATAACAAGTCAACCTTTTGGATGAGATGATGGCCTTTGAGCGGTAAAACTAAGGACACAAAGGTGAAAAGACATTTGGTAAACGAAGTGTCAATCTCAAGCCATAAAGGGTCTCAGTGGAATTGGAGAAGCCTCACATGTGCTTAGAACCTTCATGAGTCCTTTGCCTCTCCACCTTCCTAGGCTCCGTGTCTTTTGGATCTTGAAGTGATCTTCTTCTCCTCAAGTCGGAAACGACCTCATTTTATTTACGAGTAGACGAGAGAGTCAAAATTTTATTCTTAACGAGCTGCATGATTCCTTCAAAATGGGGTGACAGTGATAGTCATGGGTGTACCGTAAGTTAATCACTAATGACACATATCATATGATTGACACTCCATTTATTTATTATAATTTATTAATTTTTCTTTTTTACTTTAGATTGCTTGTTGTATATATTATAATGTTCATGGATCTGCGTAGTGAGAATTAGATCGTAATAAGATCACGATAATGAAATCGATTCACCTTTAAACACAAATCATAAATAATCTCGATCGTAATAATCGAACAAACTGGTGTATTATATACTCATCCATATGATGAAGATGGTTGGTTTCATAACAGTCAATCTTACGAGGACAATTGAGTGTCAATAGAGAATTATCTGTTTTCAGTGTCATGAGAGAAATATTCTATGTATTCTTGCTCAAGCAAATCCCTGACTAGGGTCATTCAGATTGAGAGAGAAAGTTTTTTAGGAGAATCTGATTAATACGAAACTCGACTAGATTTCGTATATACCTGATAGCCTCATGTTTGACATAGTGTCTTTGAGATAGACAGGTCTAATGGATTAGATTCTCCTATATCATTTGGAGACTACGGCATAGTGGCCTAGCTCGTCCGTAGTCGATGAGTCGAATGAATTATTATAGAGATAATAATTCACTGAGTCAAAAGAAGTTTTGATAGGTATGACTCACAACCAACTTGATATTGGGCTTAGAGGGTCACACATATATGGTAGGTGTTGCGACGAGTAAAGGTTCGAATATAAGATATTCGTTGGAGCTCTTATCTTTTTGGATATCTAGTAAGTTCATGAATTATTAGATTTTGTGGATAAGATCCAATAAGGACCAATGAGAGATTATTTGGTAGAAATCTACTAATCCAATAGGTAGTTGGATGGAGATCCAATATCCAATAGGACAAGATTCATTATAAGGCTAGACCTTTTTAAGTTGTCATCTCTTATACTTCTCTCCTCCTTAGTCGATAGCCCCCACTTTAGGGCGTGTGGACAACAAGAAGGGTCAGCCCCTTCTTGATCACATTTGTTGTGTATATCACCACTAGAGAGGAGGACAATTGACCTCCTTCAACCTCTTCATACGATCTCTCCAACTAACACATCTTTTATATATGTACATATTTCGATATTTACGCACCAATCTTTGCACGACGACGAGAAACATTTTTCTATAGAAAATTAGGATTTTTGTTTTCTATTCTTTCGCTGCGTATGAGATGCTGCCCTAGATTTCCCAACAGATAGATCTTGGTGCAAGCAGAAAACGTGCTCCTCAATGTGCTCATTTAGATCGACGCAATCCTCCGTGTGATGCTTATGAAACGGACGATACTTCATTTTATCATGCTTTGCGAATGAAGATCTCATTGGTCACTAACTCATGTAATAGTAACTTCTCCCTAATTCGAGATGCATTGTATAATATCAAGTCTAATCGTGGTCGAGATAGTCCCAATAGATTAGACCCCCTCCGATAAGACGACCATGGAGTATGTGTTGTTCGGTTTGAATGGTTCGGCCATTATCTTTTTCTATCCCTTATCACACCTCATCTTGAGATGGGGACTTGGATAACAATATATTGATTTGCTCGTTATGGGGAAGGAGGTGGATTGATTCTAAACCTACACCAAACATGAAGGCTTGTATGAGCACCAAAGGATGTGCCAGTGATCCCTTGGGCCTCATCAGCAAACTTGGAGACAATATGTTGCTCCAACTCTCTGGCTAGTTAGGAAAAATAGACTAAACGACTATAGATGAGAGGAAATAATGAGACATCAAAGCATAGGATATGTCATATAGAACCATTTAAGTATGGAAGATTGCTACATCAGTGCTACCATCAAATTCTCAATGCATTTTCTCTAAGCATTATTAATCCATCTATTATTTCTGTGTTCGTATGATGTGATTAATGAAATCCATCGACTAGGCTTTCGATTCAAGGGTCATCGATCGATTGTAAATGACTAGGTCCACTGACCTCAATCATACGAGAACGGGGGACACCACCAACGATGGAAGGTGTGAAAGGCTACAAGAATTCTATAGGAATGGGTGTGACTTCCAATTGAGTCACTTCAATAGTGATCGGCAGTTGAGGTTATCGTTGAGGTTATTGAGAGATGAAGGGAATGATAGAGTGCATCATTTCGGATACAGCTTCAACCTACTCTACTGTGTTAAGCCGAGAAAAACTTCCAAACTGAGGTCATTGAAGAACCACCGCTGTTGAAGCAGAGTTTGGCCGGAGAACAAGCATATCAACAGTCGTTCGAGTCTAGTAAAGGTGTCGTAAGGTGGGAAGTGGGACATTTGGCCGGAGAACAAGCATGTCAACAGTCGTTCAAGTCTAGTAATGGTGTCGTAGGTGGGAAGTGGGACATCTTTGCTAGGGCGACCATTTGAAGCATGCCCTAATGATAAAATTGGACTTGATATTGTCCGGTCTCAGTTCAATCTTGATCTATATAAGGAAACTTGTCGCCCACGTAGAATAATTTTTGTTTAGATTTCATGACATGACAAAAGTATCAATTAGAGTTGTTAATGAACCTTTATGTCGTGGCCAAGGTGTCAGTACGAGCTCAATTCAGTCCTCGATGTACAAGGTTGCCCATGTGGATGCTCGGGTAGCGAGGGCAAGCATCGGGTCGGGTTCGAGCCTCATCCCCTAAGCGTCGTCTTCTCTCTTGGCGAGTGGCCTGCTTCTCCGTCATTGGGCTCATGCACGCAAATCGAGGTCGGGAGGGGGATTTGCCGACTCGACCCCTTCGAAACTTAAGTTAGCTTTTAGTAGAATAAGAGAGAGTTGAGTGTTCGAAGTACCTCTCCTTCTTGATTATGGAGGGTTAGTTTTTATACATGCGAGGATGAATTGGTCATACGGGGTCAATTTATTGCGGTCGGCTCCTTGATCGGCTGACTTAAGCTTCTGTATGAGCGCCGACCAACCTGCACGGATCGACGCCGCGCGACGCCATCTCGAGCTTTCCGGGGTGATTGTACTGTGATGATGTCGTTCGTACGGAGGGGGCGACAAGCAGTTGTCCGTTACGTGTGTTGTGCGTCATATCGTACTTGAGGTTCCACGTCTGCATCGTTGTGTTTATCTGCCTGGATCCACGTGGACGATACCCAAATATGTCATCTTTTATCATTTTTTCTTTGCTAATTTAGATTTGATCTTATTATTTCTAAAAAAACATAGTTATATTCATTTATAAGTTGTTGGTAACTGTCTATATCATTCATTTCAGCTCTCATAATTCAATTTTACTATTTGTACCTACCACCACTTGCATAATTATATATATATATATATATATTATATATATATATATATATATATATACATGCGTTTTTGAATTTTACATATATATACTAAACTTAAATATAGAGGTAGATAGAAAGAAAGAAAAGGCAACAGTAAATATTTTTATAAGGAAATCGTCCTTATAATATAATATAATTCTTCTATTTTAGTTCATTTTCTCATCAAGAGACGGTCCTCTTCTTCACCTTCACCTCCATCTCCGCCTCAGCCTGCGCCTCCACCTCCACCACCTCCTCCTCCTCCTCCTCCTATTTTGTATATTTGATGGGCTTTTCCTCCTTTCCATGGCCGCTGCCGTCGCCTTCGCTAGATCGGCCGGTGGTGCTCGTACCCGCCCCGAACCAGTAGCCGGCCCGCTTCCCTGCACCCGGTCGAAGCCCATCGTCGGCTTCCTCCGCCTCCACCTCACCCTCCTCCACTCTCTTTCCTAACCCCCGGCACGCGCCACTAGTCCGATCGATGGCCCTAGTCTTCCTCCATCACGTCGTCGGCGACCTCACCCTCGGCAAGCCCGAGCTGGTCGAGTTCTCCGAGGCGGAGACGGTCGAGGCGGCCGTCAGCGCCATCGGGAACTCCGCCGAGGGCGCGATCACTGTCTGGCGGACGAAGCCCGCCGCCGCGGCAGCGCGCCCTCCGGCCGAGCGGTTCGTCGGGATGCTGAACTCGTCGGACGTAGTGGCCTTCCTCGCGCTTTCCGGCGCCGACCCGGAGAAGGCCATGAGGACGCCCGTCGCGGAGGTGGTGACGCCCAACCCCGGCCTGTTGAAGGAGGTGGATCCCGGAACAAGGTACGACTCTTGAGCCGCGTCTTTACTCTTCATTGGGGGTTTGATTGATTTCTTGAATCTACACTTTGGGCGATCTTGTTCTTTATTTAGGCATCTCGTGAATCCTTTCTTGCTGGTGGATATTAGGGCTATTTGACTAAAATCTGATCGCTGCTGCAATTGGAATTGTTTGGGGTAAATCATTTAGGGCTATAGCCAATCCTATATGTTTTGTTGATGCTATCCTGATGAAAAAGTACCCATCTACTACTGGCGTGATGATTGGGTGAAGAGAATCCATGTACTTATTTGTCTTCCAGTCCTCTAATTTTGCTGGTACGGCATATTGACCATTTGGTTATGTTCTCTTTATCTACTACCTTTTAAATTAGAGGGCTTTTGTACAAAAGTCCAAGACATGATTGAGTGCATAATGGACCACGTAATCTACATAACACAGTGTGGACTGTGGTGTTCTTTTGGAATGCAAAACTAAGTCCAGAAGAAGAAAGAGGTTGAACCAAAATTTTGGCTCGTGAAAACTCTTAATAAGAAGTTAGCTTATAAAATAGTATGCACAATATTATTTTTGATGAGAAAGAAAATAAGTTGATTTTAAGGCAAGGTTGCATACATCGACCCTCCCCAGATCCCGCACACTGGGTTCATCCTTATTTTTTAGAGAAAAATATTTGTATTGAATGTTAGTTGTACCAACAAGAAAATTGATGTGAACAATCACTTGATGCGAATGTTTATTTGGACTATTGTCAAATAAAATTTGATTCATATGCTTTTACAGTATTCTCATTATCAAACAAATTAGTTTAAAATGATAGAGAGAAAAAAAAATTCTTAGCAACAAATATAGTATCTAATTGACTTCATAAATTTCATGTAGAGACAAATTTCACACTGTAAAACCCACACAGCAATAATGCAACGAACTGCAAATTTTACATCTCTTAGGATGGATCTTTTACCACAAAATATTGTGAAAATATGAAAAGTTTGCATGTGAAAGGTGTGTTTAAAAGATATTTTGCTTTGTCAGACAAGTTCAATAATTTGAACATATCATCACTCTTAGTGCAGGGTGCATGTCCTAAGGAAGAATATCTCCCTTGGATGTTAGTACACAACCAGATGTATATTGGAGACTTGTTGACAATTGAAAAACTCAATAACCTATAAGAACTATCACATTAGCAAGGAGGATGTGGAAGGTTTAGTTAAACCCAAGCTCTTGATAGGGTAACTGAAACCCTACTAGGTTGAACTACTTGAAGGTAAAAAATAAGAAAAATCTCTGTTGAAAACTCTCCACACCATAGTGAGGAAGATGAGGAAGGTTCCGTTAGACCCATGCTCTTGATATGGTAATTGAAAACCAAACTAGGTTGAACTACTTAAAGGTATATGTGCTGGTCTTTGTAGCATTAAACCTCCACAGCTTATCCCAGGGTAAACAAATTAGAACTTGGAAGAAGCTGCTAATATCCATACATAAGCGCCTACATATGTCAAAACCATTTGAACCTATCGACACTGAATTCACTTTCCTGTCCTTTCTCCAAAACTTGGGGGCAGACCACACTGTTCCTTGGATATCTCAAATCATCCTTTCCAGATGCCATGACAATTGAAAACAAATACGAGTGTTATCTTAACTAGTTGGATCCACATAACTACACATCGGGATACAACCATATTGGGCTCCCTGCACTTGAAATATAGTTGGAGTTAATCGAATAAACACCATTTGTCAAACAAAAGCCTTAAGTTTTTTGTAGGAAACATTGGCATTTCTGATTGAGTTAGCAAAAGGACAAGGGATTGGAACTGAAATACAAACAAGTCAAACAAGATTTGCAAGAAAATAAAAGAAGAGAACGAGGTGTGCTAGGCACTGTAAGTATGAATTTAGTTTTCAGTAGTTAGTACCTTGAAAATTAATTACAAACAAATCTTGTTTGACTTGAAAATTAAGGATTGGAACTGAAATATAAACAAGTCAAACAAGATTTGCAAGAATATAAAAGAAGAGAACGAGATGTATTAGGCACCGTAAGTATTAGTGATTAAGTATTCTTTTTGATGTCATTTCTCCAAGGTATTAATTAAATTACAAATAAGATTTGCAGTAGTTAGTACCTGTCTTGTAATTTTAAGCTACTCACTTAATCATACCCATAGTTTTGGCAGTGTTTTTTTTAGTTTAGGTTAATGGCTAGGTACTAACTGATCTCATGTTTTCTTCAATATCCCACATTGTGCCATCAAGAGAATTCTTTGAAGAACACAAGTTTGTGTGCTCTTCTGCACTCGAAAACTATAAGCTACCGATTGTCTAACAAGACTTTCATTCAACTTGAAGATGCATTGCCCTAAATAATAGTGCAATTTCTAGGATTCTAGAATATGATTTTCACAGAATCCAGGTTACGAGGAATCTGATCAGAGTCAAAAACTACCTTGCTGCCCTATCTGTCGCTTTGGATTTCCATTGTTTTTCTAATCTCCCGTTCAAAAACTACCTTGCTGCTCTATATTCTTTCTTTGACCTGTTGGTAGGTTAATTGATGCACTGGAGATGATGAAGCAAGGGGTGAGATGCCTCCTTGTGCGCAAAAGCATCATGTGGAAAGGCTTCAGCAAGCGTTTCTCCATCCTTTATAATGGTAAATGGCTTAAGAACATTCAGAGCTCATCCTTAGGTGGAGTAAGCAACAGTGATCAACCATCATCTTCTGCTCTCCCTGACAATAAGTTTTGCTGCCTTTCTCGGGAAGATGTAGTACGTTTTATAATTGGCTGCCTTGGTGCTCTAGCCCCCCTTCCTCTATCTTCTATTGCATCTCTCGGAGCCATCAGCACAACCTACTCTTTTATCGAAGCCCCCTCGCCAGCCTTTGAAGCCATCTATAAGATTCCTCATGACCCATGTGCGATTGCAGTTATAGAGACAAACTCTGATGGCACTCACAAGATAATTGGAGATATATCTGCATATAAGTTATGGAAATGTGATTACTTGGCTGCTGCATGGGCTATGGCAAATTTGTCAGCTGGGCAATTTGTTATAGGAGCAGATGACTACGGCACGACACGAGCTTCAGTGCCTGATTTCCCTATCAACTCACCAACAGATGGTTCTGGGCCTGGAGTCTCCTCAAGGCCTAGGAAGTTCAGCAGCAGGAGTATTGGTTTCTTCAATAATCAGGTGAACCAGATGCCAGTAGGGAGACTGAGGAGCATGTACCGGGGGAGGAGTGCACCGTTGACATGCAAGCATACAAGTTCGTTGGCTGCCGTCATGGCCCAGATGCTGTCCCACAGGGCCACCCACGTGTGGGTAACGGATGCTGATATGGAGGATGACATCCTGGTCGGCATTGTCTCGTACACCGACATTCTGAATGCAGTCACTAAGTTCCCACCACCTTGAATCTGTTTCCTTCCTCCTTGTGGTTGTTTGGTCATATTTGTGTTTGTATACAGTTTGCATGTAGTTGGCCCTCTTGAAAGATTTCAAGCACTTCTTTTTTGAATTCTACTTGTGTAATTGAGTTGTTTATTACTGCTACTGAAGCTTTCTTTAATCTGTTCACTGTTTCCTCTGCCTTTGATTTGTAGTATGACATGTTCAGTGAAATTGTTATCGTGAGAGGAAATCTTTGCTCTCTTGCTGTTTTACTCCTTGTGTTCAAACATTCTACATCTACTATTACTTTTTGACATTGTTCAGCTGATTGTGAGACAAAACATTGCATTCCTTTGGCAAAACCTGAGTGACGTTTAACTTCATTGGAAGAAATTATTAGCTGGAGTTGTCCAATCTACTGTGACTTTGGTTGCTGTGAAGCAAATGATGGACCAAGATTTTACTTGTAACAAAGGATTTGGGTGGCACAAGATCTTGCTTATGACAAAGCAAATAACAAAGGCAATTATAAAGTTAGAAGGTTCTTTTTGGTTATCCTAACTGCGTGAGACAAGACAAATGGTGTGTAGAGGAGACTTTGTAGTTAAAGAAGGGCACAACTACAGATATATTCCTTCCAAGCTCAATAATTTTCATATCATGTATACATATTCTATATTAAAACTTGAAAATGGCAAATATGCTGTCTTAAAATTTGAGAGGACAGATATGTGGAAAGGATCATAAATAAAAAAGTGAATAAATTGGAAATAGGGGCTCTTTTCTTGTTGGAAGTTCCACTTGGCACTAACAAATGGTCAAAGCACCAAAAACTGCTAAACCACTCCTGATTCTACTTTTGGAGGGCAACCATAAAATCTTCTGGAATGCATCCTCCAATTGCATGTACATTTCCCAAACAATAAACTGCCAAGAGTCAATCAAATTGGAACTATCTGCATTGTTAGGCAGGATTCTTGGTTTAGCTGACTTTACTATCAGCCTTCACTTGGAATGCAAGAGATGCAAATTGGAGAGAAGGCTTGCTTAGAAAGTTAGCAGACTTGCTCATCATCATCATCTCTCTCTCTCTCTCAAGTTAGATCAATTCCTGTTGCGTGAGTCACCCTTGCTTGATTCACTGAATCCCTCAGTCACACACATGCTTGTCTAAAAAAGGCTATCAAAGTCAAAACTCCAGTTGATTTCATGCATAAGTAGGTAAAGTAGGAAGTAAAGTTCAATTTTATTAATGGCACATGATGTACACCAACTTTATGTCCTACTCATTCACCAACAAATGTCTCAAATCTGGAATAAAAAAAAAGGTATTTATTTTGTCCATGCTTCTATTTAATCAGTTGAGATTTATAAGCACTAATGTTTAATGGCATTGTAATTGTGTTCTAGGTAACACATGACCATCTCTCATGCTTAATCTTTCTCATCCTTTTTGGAGAGGGAAAGGTGGGGAGCCTAAGAGCTCACAACAATTCCTTCAAAAACAGCAAGTGTTTCTCTGATTGCAGAAGCATATATTGGAATGAATCCACAAAACTTCTTCAATCAGACAACATAACAGTGGCAGAATCTTCCTCCACCAAGATCTCCTTAGCTTGCAGACCACTGATGGCTTGCTGCTCCTCTGAGTTCCAATTAAGAAAATTTACACTGTCCATTATGATCAAATGAGCAGCATGGTTTCTTGTGGTGCATATGTTAGATCTATCAAGTCCGAAAGTATACAGCCGGCAACCGTGACAATGGCGATACCCTTCATGGCTGATATGGGGACACAACTTCTTGCGATGACAAAGGAGGCGATTGCTGGACCCAATCTATTAGCTTGTCACTTTCCATGAATGGAGTCCTTGGAAATTTCCTGACACCTCTCTCTCTCATTTTGTTTGGAGCATTTTTCTTGCTCAAGATTTCAACCAGTATCTTCACTGGAGTTCTTGCCATGCTTTGCATGTGGAGACATCGATCGGATTTCGTTCGAAGAAAATATCTTCCCATGCTTGCATACTCTTCTTCACCTTCTCCCTTGTGGGGAACGTGAGGAGGGCATTTTCCAAGCATTTAATGTCCATGGATTCATCAGAGGACTCAAAAGTGGCCGAAATACTGGACATGGTTTTCAGTAGTTCTCATTGTACCGAGTTTCCAATTGTCCTATACATAAAGGAAACCTTAGGTAATGGAAAGAGAAAGTGAGAGAGAGAGAGAAGCAAGAAAGAGAAAACTTGTAGGTTGGAGCTGCATTCACACTGAGCTAAGTAAAGCATCCTGCTTGTTGACATGCTGATTAGTGATCCATTGTTTCAAAGATCTGATAAAAGGTATCAGAGTTGGAATGATGAAGATTTTGCTAATCAACAGTAGGTGGCCATCTTATTTACAGGTGAGAAAGAAAGCATTTGATTTTAGGATTGCTTCTAAGAATGAAACAATAGGGCTAATGAAAGAGTATCACCAGCTGAGCTTTGTTATTCTCTAAACAAGATAAAATTCAACATGAGACAAATCAATTCAGCTCAACCACAATTTGATCCTGCAAATTCTAATGGAAGCATTGTCCTTGACCCTGAGCTGAGATACTGACCATGTGTATGTTATGTCAAGATCTTGAATTGACACAAAACTCAGCTCTCAATCCAAATCACCTCTAAAATCATTGCCCTGTTTACTGTTTTCAGAATGACTGTGATGTTCTCCAAATCTTCAGTAATTGGTTGGCTTGGATGAGGACAGATCTTTGATGTCTGATATCTAATTGTAGGATTAACTTTGATTTCTTGCATTGGTTTTGTGCTTGGCTTGAATGATGCATCTTGAAGATAAATTTTGATGGATAAATCAGTAGGTGCTGTGATCACTCAGTGAATTCTCAATAAATCTTTGCAAGGAGATTCACAATCTTCATGCAGACTTCTCATTGGCCGCACACCAAAGGAACAGATTGCATGTGGATATCATTACGGATTAGATTCATGCTGAACCAACAAAACCTCACCATGGATTCTTAGTATGTATGCATCACGGTATGAACGGATGTGACATACACAGCAGGACCACTTGGAGCTCAGTTAGGGTTGGCTGTGGTGATGATGAACTTGGTTGATGTTGTTGTCCATGGATGACAAACATTTCCTTCTCTGAATAATGAATGATGCCTGCAGAGTTTGGCTGGAAGTATGAGATGAAGCAAAAGTTGGAAGATGAATGCATTTGCTGCCAACTTTGGAGAAGCCAAATAATACATGCCTAACAATGCCAATTCCTGAAACAACAGCTTCTTCCTTGACAACTTACTTGTATACAACAACAATAAAGTTCCAAATACATGCATATCAATTATATAGATCTTTTATCATCATTAATATATGTATACATATGATAGCTTTATGGGTTAATAAAAACCTAACAGTTTTGATGCTGCTTATATGCAGTGATTTTTTGTGTTTGGGAAGTCCTTAATAAAGGCCTGAAAAAATACATGTAAAATTCAGTAGTAATGTTTTTTTATTTTTTATTTCTGAGAAATTCTCTACTTATATAAAAATTCCAAAATTAAACAGCTTTTGCTTCCCAAAGTTGGGTAGTAAGAAATGAAAAAGAGGGGGAGAAAAAACACAAAATTCAAGATTGCTGTGCTGTGGTTTCTTTCCTTTTGCTATTATTCTGATTTTGGAAAATAAAAAAAAAACAAATAAAATAAATCAAATTTCTTCCTTGTTTTTTGAACCATAGAGTTGTATATGAACAGTCCCCAAAATAAATTATTGTCCAAAATAAAATTGCTTATTTCTTTTCAAAGAAAATGCCTCATGAACAATGTATAAGGGTAATTACGTAATTTTACGTAAACCAATTCCCCCAATTCGGCGGTGTCTTTGCGGCCGTCATTAAATACCACCCTCTCTCCCCGTCGTGTCTCTCAGTCTAAAGCTGAGGACAAAAGCGAGCCTCGATCTCTCCCTCTCTGCGAAGCGGAGAAAGAAGGGAGGGGGGAGAAGAATCAGAAGGTGGGCCGTAATGGCTTCTCGAATGGCCTTCCGACCACAGGCGCTCCCCTGCTTCTCTTGCCCAAGCAAGAGGCGGAATGCCAGATCTCCCCGAGTCTCCATGGCCTCCACCGTTGGCTCCTCCTCCTCCTCCGCCGTCTCCAACAAGTGAGCCCCTCCACTTCCCCCCGTTAGGGTTTCTCCCTGCACTTGGTTGGTTGGTCTCGATGCTCGTTAAAGACTTCATCTTGATCTGTCCCGTCGATCTATTCAAGATTTCTGCGAGCCTCTTCTTCTATAGATCGTTCTTTCTGATCGGAATTTCTCTTCTTTCTTTCAAGAAAGTTGTCTGCCATATCTTCTTACTTACAAACAAGGTTGCAAGTGTTCCATTTGCAACGACTCTGCTGGGTTTGGATGGTGATATGCTTTTTATTGTTTTTGTTTCGATTGGAATTTGGATATCTTGTTTGTGCCTAATCTAGCTTGAGCTTATTTGCCATTTAAGTCAAATGTGGGTGAAATTGGTTGTTTCTTGGAGTATCACAATGCATGCATGTCTTGTTTATTGAGGAGGCTTTGTGGGTTTTGTAGGTTATTGTTTCTTTCTTGGATGTGTTGTGAAGTTCTGTTATGATATTTCATTTCGAGTTGGTCTCGGGACATCCGTTGCACATTCTAAGCTGGAGAATACTTTTAGCACGTAAAGATGCCGATTACGTACAATTTTGGTGAAAAACTTGGAGACTTATGGTTCAGAATGTGCAGATTGCTGCAAAAAGAATTTTCTTTTATTTACTTGTTTCACTCAATTTTGAAATTGTTAGAACGGTTGTGGCTGGCAATGCGACTTTAGTATTACTAATCTATGGGAAAGGGCAATGTTCCTTAATGAGACTCCTGGATGACTAATCTGAAGGAAAGGGCATCTATCTGTTCTTTTTTGACATGATACTTGTTTATGATGTCAAATGTCCTTTCTAGTCTTTCTTCTTGCATCGTGCAACGAGTGGCATGCTTAAAGCTTGACTTTTGTAAACTGGAACCGGTAGCATCATTGACAAATTTCATCTCATACTTCTAGGTCTATCTGGGGGAAAAGGGTCTGATCCCATGTCTCCTACACGTAGACCTTAAAAATAGTGTGCGAAATACTATGAAGATTACTAAAGTATGTTAGACTTAGCGGTTGTATATGTTGCAGATTGTTGTTATCATTGTTGACTTGCTATGGTGGACTTATTTAAAGATGCTTATTGTATGAAGATTGATGGTGGCCTATATAACTCCAATCTCATTTAACCATAATTCTTGATGGTGGATCAATAAAACTGCAAAAGGATCCATATGCATCATGATTCTTTTATCACCAAAAGCCAATATTCTGTAGTAATCAGACGTGTGATTCTAATGGCATTTCCAACTTTGGCAATTACAATACTGAGGCCAACTTAAAAATATCTGCTATTACAGGCTGCTTCCTTATCATTTTTAGTCTATGCATGTTGGATCCTCGCACTTGACAACATGCCTTCTCTAATATTCCAAAGAAGTTCTTTTTCCTATTGTGCCTATGATAATTTTCATTATAGAGTTTAACAATGTTGTCTATGGATAATGATGGGCAACTTGGAGTGACATATGTATCGGTGTCCAATTGAGATGTGACTTTTTCCATTGGACCCATTTTGAAGTAAATGCTCTCCTATAAGTGACTTTTCTCTTTTCGTTCTCAATGAGAAACATTCACAAACTGCTTTGTTGATGGCATTAACAAAAAGAAGTTGACTGGTAAGTCAAGAGGTTACCTTCTATGGAGATGGTCAGATCTGTTGAACAGGCAAAATTGTAGATTCAAAGCCATGTTAAATTATTTTTTGGTGTACTAGTTCATGTTTGAACTTTGGTGCAAGTACTTTCACACGTTGGTGTTGAGTTTTGGAACATGATCTTAATTTTTATTTTCTATTCAAGTTCTGTAGCATGATAACTATTTCCTATGGCTGTCATTGTTTTCTTCAACTATTTTTTGTATTTCCCGTTGCTTACTTTATCATTTCCCATCTCATGTTATCATGATATCTATCTATTAATTAATACCATGTTCTTAGTAAGCGATATTTGCTTGTTTAATCAGCATCTTCTATGTGACTTAATTTAGTAATAAGTTCTCTTTTCTTGGCTAACATGTTGAATTCACACATATGAACAAAATGCACCATTTACATGTCACATTTTCAGCAACATATACCAGTATTTTATGATCATTGATATCTCACAAGTTTTCTATATTTTTCTGATATCCATGTTATCATCATACCAGGGTTGAGACTCCAAAAAAACCCTTTTCTCAGCAAGATGTACATAGTCAAGTCACGCACTCGCTGCCGCCTCAAAAGATTGAGATTTTCAAGTCATTAGAAGATTGGGCAGAAAATAATATCCTGGTGCATCTGAAGCCTGTTGAAAAATGTTGGCAGCCACAAGATTTTCTGCCAGATCCTTCGTCAGAGGGATTTTATGAAGAAGTCAAGGAACTGAGGGAACGTTCAAAGGAGATCCCTGATGATTATTTTGTTTGCTTGGTTGGAGACATGATTACTGAGGAAGCCCTTCCTACATATCAGACAATGCTGAACACTCTTGATGGTGTCCGAGATGAGACAGGTGCAAGCCCGACTTCTTGGGCTATTTGGACTAGGGCTTGGACTGCTGAAGAGAATAGACATGGTGACCTCCTCAACAAATACCTATATCTTTCAGGAAGAGTGGACATGAAGCAAATTGAGAAAACAATTCAGTATTTAATTGGTTCTGGAATGGTAATATTTGCTTGATGCATTATTTTACCTCTTAATTTGAGTTTAGCATCTCTCTATTTGAGCATTAAAAGTTTAGAAGTTTTTGTTTGGTCCATTGCTTGCCTGAACAGCCTTTTCTCCTGCTACTAACTAAAAATTATGTATTTGATGTGCCATTTCAATGTTGTCTAACATGCATATATTTCTGACCACTTTTCTTGATTATTGTAAAATGATTTGATTCATATGAAGGCTTTCATCTATGAAAATATCCTTTGGCTCCCTTTTCGCCATAATGTTTACCTGCTTTTTTTGTATGAAATATGCATGTAAATTACTGTGCATATGAGTAGTGCTCATATTTTGCTTATTCTTGTTTGTTTGGTGGTTGAGTTGTTTGTGAAATATATGTTCCTGTGTAGTGACTACAATCGACAGTAGCATTACCTTGGGTTTCACCTTCTAATTATCTTCTTTTTCTATGCACATGTCTTTTAGGATCCACGGACAGAGAATAACCCCTACCTTGGTTTTATATACACTTCATTTCAAGAGCGAGCAACCTTCGTATCCCATGGAAATACCGCTAGGCTCGCCAAGGAACATGGGGATCTAAAATTAGCTCAGATATGTGGAATAATTGCCTCTGACGAAAAGCGCCATGAGACCGCGTACACTAAAATAGTGGAGAAGCTGTTTGAGATAGATCCAAATGGCACAGTGCTTGCATTTTCAGACATGATGAAGAAGAAGATCTCAATGCCTGCCCATTTAATGTACGATGGACGAGATGATAACCTCTTTGGCCATTTCTCAGCAGTTGCTCAGCGGCTGGGCATCTACACTGCCAAGGACTATGCCGATATACTTGAGTTCCTCGTCACCAGGTGGAAGATAGGGGACCTAACGGGACTCTCTGGTGAAGGGAACAAGGCCCAGGATTTTGTCTGTACTTTGGCTCCCAGGATAAGGAGACTGGAGGAAAGAGCACAAGCCAGAGCTAAACAAGCTCCAGCTATTCCTTTCAGTTGGATCTATGGCAGGGAAGTGCTCCTCTAAGTACCAAGAAGCAATCTTTGGTTTGGTAGCGGTCCACCGTCCGAAGTGAACCATGGCCTGTTTTGCGTCTCCATTTGCTGATCAAACAGTTCTGTAAGGAGTTTCAGTGTCAAATCCATGCTTTGCTTCTCATTGTTTCATTGGGTAGGAGGTTAATTGGAAAGGGGATGTTGTAGATACTCGAAAGCTGTCATGGACAACATTTTACAAATAAATGGTGCGATGTTTCAAGTAAAATTTGGATTGATCGTGGAAAATACTGCTGTTTGCAAAATGTGAGGTGTATTTCGTGTTTTCCTTTTAATTCTTTTCTAGTGGGTTCGTGTTGCTCTTCGGATTCCCAAGGTTTTGTATCTAATGTGCACTGGACGGAACACTGCTGATTTCTGTCTAATTCGTTCTCTCTGCCTCAGTTTGATGCAATGTGATGCTGCTTCCTATCATAATTTGATGTAGTTACTGGAAAGGATACCTCTGCCGGAGGATCTAAAGAACAAAATGCCAGATATACTGCACCACTATCGATATCATTAATTATTATGCCAAGAAAAATATAATCCAAGAGTTTATACATGATTTGCACTATACACTTGAAACAAGCTTTGAGCTTTACTAGCAATTGTACATGGATCTTCTCATCGACGATAAGTTACTACTAGTATCTCTCTTCGAATTTGTCAGGGTTCAAGGTATGAATTGGTCCAGCATTTATCTTCTGCCATGGACGATAAGTTACTACTACTATCTCTCTTCGAATTTGTCAGTGTTCAGGGTATGAATTGGTCCAGCATTTATCTTCTGCCATGGCCTTCTGCCATCTGTTCCGAAAGATCTCGAGTTCCACATAAGACCGCCGTCTCACCTGCACACAACGAGTTCGATCCGATAGAAAATGAAGAGAGCAGAAATGAATGATAGAAGTGTGTGCTTGAAGATTTAAGAGTGTGCAACTTGGATCTTGCACAAAGAACATGGCCAGTTTGGGCTGGACCATGCAATTGCCACAAGCTGCCGACGACATGGAAATCAATAATGTGAAAACAATTTTATCGTGCTTACTGCAAATCTGTGATTAGCAGCATGCAAATCGGAAGATCCCTGCAAGTATGAACCGACAAGTCAGATTGGTGGAGGAAACGATAATTTTGACAAAGGCATAACAAACCCTAAAGCATTTGACACAAAAATAGGTTCTTGAATGTTCCAATACCAATACTTTGTTTCTATGATTCTTTTCTTTGTTAAAAAATGTGGTAACATTGTACTTCAATAAAGCGACGACCGGTACACTCCAAGATCTAATTTGTTTCAATATTTCAATAACTTACCATTTTCTCATCAGACCCACCAAGTGTAGGCAGCCCCGTATGAACTATGTATTCACTGTCCACCACCCCAACTTTTTTGGTGCGGTCACCCTGTCAAGAGTTCGTTTCAGTTTTCTTACCGACAAAAAATTCCAACACATCATGATTGGTGTTCATGTGAATCTTACCTGAGCACAGTAACCAAGATTCATATCGAGACCCCATGCATAAATCAAGTCATTCTACAAACAAAGAAAAAAATTAGTTTGACATATTTCTAGTGTAAAGACAACAGCATAGGTCTTGACATTTCTGGAGAGTGAAAACCGCAAATAGGTTCACTTAGTTACATGTATTGCATTTTGGATACAAGTATATATAAAAGGGATAAAATTCGACATCTTACAGTCGGAAAACAATATCATGAGAAATGTATATTAAGAACAAGCAACATAATTTGTGTAAAGAATCATACTTGAATCATATGCCATGCACAACGCCAGGCAGCTCTTGAGAAAACAGGAGCCATCATTTCTACCCACCTGCAATAAGAAAATCTTTTGGCGTCAAAGGTGGTGAATGAACATCCATGGGAACAACAATTTCTTAACTATCAAATGAACATCCATGAGAACAAAAATTTCTTCACCATCGGAAGGAAAAATCAAAACAATCACCAAAAATTGACAGATAACCCCCGTCGTTTTGAACTAAAGATATATTGATATTATAAATCATATCAGATATCCAAGTACAACAAATATTTATGCTGGGAAAAAAGAAACTCACCCAGTACATGGAGGGCTACTGCTTTTCTTGGAACATTTTCCACCACCATTGAACTTGTACATCCTTCTGTTAATTGAACAAACTACTTATAATTTCCGTCTATACTATGAGAACTAGATCAATAGGAGGAACATGGAATGGGCTCCATGTGCAATGGAATGAACAATCAAATATTTCTACTGGAGAAACGAGACAAGGCAGCACCTGTGCACGTGCCCTTTCCTTAATCGTGCAGTAATTTGATGGTGAATCTGAGATTTCGCAGGGTCAAGTGCAGGTTGTGATATCTCTAAGCCTTCCCTCTCAACAATGCTCAAGTATCTGCAGAAGTTAAATGTGCTAATAAAACAAGACTGAAGTAAAAAGATGTTTAAATCGATCCAAGTCATAGAACACTAATTTATGAAGTTTTAACATCTCGATCAACAACAAGAAGCTCAACCTAACAAGTAATGCATGACACTCCAATTAAAATTTTGTTCACTTAAAGAACAACAAACAAATGATAAGTTTCATGGGCAGCATGTATAACTATTCAAAAAAAATCATCAAAAGCCGGTAGTGAGGATTGTCTTACACGACCAGTACGCAATCCAGGAAACCCTCAGGGTACCCATTGTTTAGATTATTAGCAGTCTTGATAACTAACATCAGCAGAATACATTCTACCTTTCAAGTTGCATAAACAGACAAATGATAAAGAAAAAACAACACCACCTACCTTTCAGGATGAAAATTTTGCACTTCAAGGTCCTCATCCCATAGGAAGATATACCTGTATGGTGCAACTATGTCTGGATGTAAGAAGCGCTTTGCAAACCACCTGCAAAACAATACTGTTTTTAGAATGGGCTACATTGTGGACTAATGTAATCTCCACCATAACTTCAAGAAACCTTTGTTGATAAACTAAATTACCATTTTGTTTGATTGATTGCAGAAATATGTAGAGCGCCCTCACTCCATTGTAAATCTTTCCATTCATCAACAACACCATCATAGTGAAAAAGCATCACAGTGAAGTCATGGGAAGCAAACTAGAACACAACAGAAACATTTAGCTAAAACTAGAAACTTTTGTAAGGAATATTAACAAAAAGACATGAGGTAATGATGTTTTTACCTTCGTTACAATCTTATTCACGATTTCCTTTTGCTTTATTCCAACCGGAATCGCCAATAAACTTTTCTGTGAACTGACACTTTCCTGTTCTTAACATTATAAGATTTCTATTAACTGACTATAATTTCAATGATACATTATAAGATTAATCTAGAATGGAGTCAGCACATACTGAATGAGAAATCTATGGGAAGGGCATTTAAATTTTAAACTATCATCTCTGTACAAATTTTACATCATGCACATATGAAAATTGCTTCATTGGTCTTCCCAACTCCTCACCTTGTGTATGTGAAATTTGATTGTTTCTACAAGCCCATATTAGACTAACTTGTAAGAAATGGTCCTTTTGTATATAAGCAAGTATATCCATACAAACTTTACATCACACACATAATGCATTTATTTCACTAGTCTTCACAACTCCACCAACTAGAGACTATTAAGTCTAAACCTGGTGCTTTACAAAACCTTTAAGTCTATGACACTACAGACTTCTGGTTGCAACCCAGATTTCTGTATAGGCGTCTATGAATCCGAGGACATCTGGTTGTGATCCGGATTTCTCTGTAATTGCAAACAAAGTGTGATTCCAAAATTCCAAGATGATGACTAACAACAACATATCGAGACCAAGGTTGCACATGAACCTGATCGTGGCACTGTCGTACCAGCAAGCGTGGAAATCTATACCATGCCAAGGGAGTATATGAACTCTTTTTTCCAGCTATTGTACTTGTGCCAGTTGACACAGACCTATATCAAATGATGCAGGACGATGGACCATGTCAGCACATTACCATGCAACATGTCGGTAAAAAATGAAATCTTTGGTTAATACCTCGAATAAGCTTTATGTACTCAACACCTAAAGAAAGTAAGGCAATCATAGCACACCTTTGCTTTTGGAGGACCCCATAGAGGCACCATTTCCAGGTCTGACTTCCTCATAACAATTCCTTTAGGTAATGGTTCACTCCCCGAAGATATGCAAGGACTCTAAAAATAATACAAACTGAATCATAAGAAAATAATATTTAAAAACAATAGTAATGAAAAAGAAGAGTGCAAATGACAAAATGGTGAATATTAATGCAGAAGATGTTATACATCAGATATTAAAGCCAGCTTCGCAAAGAATTACCTCGCATGACTTGGACTGAGTGGACTCATGGGACCATGAATTTGCTCGAGGGGTCTGTAATTTTGATAGGTCAGTTTGCAAATTGCCTCGAGTGATCTCTACGGCGTCAGTGGGGATCTCAGCTGACATCTTCTGAAAAGTAACAGAAAATACTATTTCCATGAAGGAAAAAAAATGCTGATTACACTTTATATAGGTAGGATATGTTACATTTACCAACCAGCAAGTGAGTGACTTGTAGCTAAAAAGAAGTTTCTAGAGATAAAACAGCATAAGTGCTACATAGAAGAACTCAAGAGGTTGACATACACAAGAGGAGAAACAACAGATAAGCTCAAAAAATCGATTATATCTGTCTTGGAGAACAAGGTTCAAAGGAGAAGTTATGTTCATTCACTAACAAAACAAAATAGATTAATAAGAAAATTTTCTGTCGGGAAAAAGAATGAGCTTCCTAGAATCATCCATCAGGGGTCAGCTAAAGTTTGTATCACCAAAAAGTTGATACTATAATAAATAAACAAAAAAACGAAGTCAGAAAAATAAACTATACCTCCTTATAGTCAAATGCAACAAAGGAAGTCCCGACAACGAACACCATACACAGGAAAGCAGCTGCATGGAAGATGCTACAAGAGCATAATTTCCTATTTGAGGGATCTGTTTGAAGAGAGCCCTGCAAGGATTTTTGTAAAGGAAAAAAATGACCCTTGTGCAACTAAAAAAAAAATATAATAACTTGACAATCTTTTATACACAATAAACATGTAGCAAAAGTAACATGCTGTTAGAATTCACTATATATTGAGGACCAAAGAATAATCAACATGAAGTATTCCTCAGTGAGGTCATGATATAGTTGGAAGATTGGATGCCTGAAGAATTGAACAGGAAACAGGACCAGATATGGGCACTCAGCATTGTTAGTTCAATTCCTAATATATTCCTTCAGCATATATGGTATAATTTTGATGTCTCCCCAAATATGATTTAACAGCACCAAAATATTTGAAAAATAAGAGACAGTTAACGCTACTAGGAACTTAATAGTCCTTTACTCGCTTAAAATTAAGAGGAAATATTTGAGAAACATCAATATTTTTTTTGTTGAGAAAATACAGTTCATAAGAAACAGAACAGCAAAATTAATGTAGACGAAAGTTAAATGTGCTCTTTGCAATTAAAGAAGCACTCAAACAACGTACAGAGCTGAATGACTTCATCTTCCACACGGTCACGTGGATTATAAATGCACGAATACGAAAGGCTTCAAATTCTGCAGTTTAAGTCTGCAAAACAAACAAGACTCAGCAAAAGGGAAGCCACAATCCCACCAGAGACAAGGAAACAGGTAAAAGAAAGAGTCGCTCACCATGACAGAGCAAGAGCTTCACTGGCAGAACCCAACGTAACAAGCGCAGCAGAGAGGACCTCCCAGCAGAAGAGGCTTTGGCGACACTTAGTCGACGTGGGACGCCACAAAAATCGAGTCTTTCTGAAGGATTCTGCCTTGCAAACTTAGTCAAAGTAAGACGCTCAAAAGTCGAGTCTTTATGAAGGACTCTACCTCGCGAACTTGGTCCAAGCAGGAGGCTCAAAAACCTCGTCTTTCTTGTGAGGACAGACGGAGATGAATAGTGGAGTCAGCGAAGGAGGGGATAGGAAGAAGGATCGAGCGGGCGGAGTGCAAAGAGCTTTCGGTTTCCGCTCTCTTTTTCCGTGGGAAGGAATCTGCGCGGATTTATATTCCCCGTCAGTCAAAAGCGGAGGCGTGGAGGAGAACCCCCCACCCCCCCTCCTCCCCCACTTCCCCTCTCCTCACTCCTCACCTCCCCCTATTCTCCCTCCATTTGTATGTTGTTTTAATTGGTCGCGTATAGTCCCATGGAGTACGTAGACGTCCAACCTGGAAGAACTGTAAACAACAGTGCTTGATAGCTCGATACCTTACGGGAGAGCCAACGTCACCGTGGGGCCCTTAGAGCCATCTCAAGGTATGATATCTGCGTAACTTCGTAACTATATGCACAGAGAGAGAGAGAGAGGAGGAGGAGGGAAAAAGAAATCCAACGGAAGGAGGTCACCTGACATGGCCGAAACAGGGAACACGGTTCCTCCTTGACCCCGCACGCGACAACGGCGAGTCAGCGCGATGCCGGCCCTCGTTCAGAGGCGGAAAAAAGGAGTTCCCTGCCTTGGCAAACACAGACGAGCTCCACACCTTTGAAAACCTAGGACAGTAATCATAAAAAACACGTGAGAATAAGTCAAACTACTGATATTTTAATCGTCTTATACTCTGTATCATTTATGATCTCTACGTAAAGTCATTGTTTTAACCTCAACGCAAAGGAAGTCAAAGGTCTAAACGGTTGACTCCAGCGATTCCCCGTGAACATCACCCTCACGCAAAGCCAAACTTCTAGAAAATGCAAAGGCTTTTGGCTTAGTATTAATTCTCCTTTCATTGTCTTGGAGATGAGTGGGTCCAGGCTATATATACACCACACAAAAATCGATTTACCACTAACTCGATGCCCATTGCATGGCTAAGACATCAGATTATAAATTTATCATTAATGGAAGAAACCAAATGAGAGGAGATTTTGCTTTTCAATCTGGCCCCCATTATGAAGTGGGGACCTTCTCTCAAGAGAATACCAGCAGGTAGGAGGTTGATAGGTAGCTGCGATGTGGGGGGGGGTTTCTTGAAGAGATGCATAAAACTGTGGCTAATGTGTGTGGATCTTAAGAAAAGAATCATACATTTGAAAGAAATGCTACAAGAGTCTAGAATTACTACCGGGAGCAAGAATAAAGATCAAATTTTCTGTAATGAACTGTAGCAGGAAGCCCCGTGTCTTCTTCCTTCGGGAAGAAGAGCAGGTTTGCACAATGGTTTAGACTGACTGGTATAGGCATCAAGAAGTAGACAAATGTGGTACTACTGTGGGCCAATCTTGAGGGGCATATGCTTGGAACAAGGTGGGTCTGACCAAAAGCAAAGCAGAGAGTCTTGGGACAACTAGATTTAGCATCAGACAAACCACAAGGTGACCTGTACAAAGCACAACTAAAGATCAACTAATGGTTTTGCAAGTAGCCAGCATGAGTATTGACATCATGATCTCCGTCCACTGTCATCTATCAGGACAAAAGAACAAGTCTTAGGGAAATGGCGAGGGAGACATCAGTGAAACTAGGACCAGCATCAATATCGATAACTAGTATTTGACATGGGCAAAACATGGACCACTGGAATCAAAGATGGGCATGCAAAAATGTCAAAACCTATTGCAGCAACAATTACAAAGAAAAAGATGTCATTGATGCAGACCAATTGAACCTTGAACTGCTAGATCGGTAATAAGCCATTCTTCAAGAAGTGACTAGAAAAGGATATGCAAAGCTATAATTAGACTAAATCTCAGAAGCCTCAAGGCAGTGATTCATCTTAAAATCCAACAAAAGAGGCACGAGGAGCATAAAACCAAGCTTGGTTTGCGGGGACGGACATTTGTTGATGTTAGTCGCTACGAGTGCCACCTAATAGATCCAATTACAGAAAGATACAGATCTTACCTGGAAGGCACCAATAGAGCTCGGGCAGTTCCTTTTAAATAATCAGGCCCTTGAACATTCTTCATGTGATGTGGATAATCCTTAATGAAGGCTCGGGTGTCCTTAAGCCATCAGATTAACAAGAACAAAGATGAGACCAGGGTGAACAAGTTTAGAACGGATTAATAGAAGTTGATTAAAACTCAAGGATGCTTGGCAACAGGGATAAATCATGAGAAGTAATGAGGAAATACAACCATAAACATGTCTTGAGAGAATTGAAGGGCTCCGTGTTAGACTATATCCAGAATCCTAAAAAAGGTAGTGTAATTTGAAGCACTACTAGATTTCCTGACCAAATAGATTGCATCATAACATTCAACTAATTTCACATCTAATTTCATTATGCATATAATGTTCTGCCAGAGATGACCAGAGGTGCTTGCACATGATTCAGTTAAGATAAGGGAGGAATATTCAAATACGACTAGTAAATGTTAGGGAATACATCATATATACACACTTATATGGAGATTCCCAAGTCTTAATATTATATCATTCAACTCAGACATGAGAATGGATCTTGAAAAGTGCCTTACGATAACAGTCTCACGAGAAGATGAACCATGTTGGCTTGTACCATGTCACAAAACACCTTGTCAGTTCAGTTTCTTAATCATGAAATGCTAAAAATCACTGAGCTACTACAAATTGTGATTCATACTTAACATATTAACTTTAATTTTAATTAAAAATGATTTGGACAAAAACTGCCAAGAATATCTAGAGTGACACCGTGAGCAATATGGTAGATGAAATTTTACTAAAAGCACAGAGGCTTCATAATAAAGAAAAAAAGCCAATTCTGCAATCACCTCAGTCGGTAGTTGGCAGATACACCTTGTGGAAATTGTTCATGGTCAGCTTTCTTCGACAAGTGGGGCACTTCTTCTGAAATTGAATGGAGGCCTTTATGCAGCTCTGGCAGAAAATATGACCGCAAATGGTTGATGATGCCTCAACCAAAGTGTTCATGCAGATAGGGCAGGTGAAAGTCGGTTGCTTAGGAGGCTCTGGCCTATATTCCATCACATTCTTGCCCTGCATATAAGTGAGTATGCAACTTTCAGCAAATCAAGCAGGATCTAGCTTAGGAATCTTAAAACTGCAGATAATATAGACAAGAGTCCAAGACAACCATGACCATTGAGAAAAGAGAAGATAAAACATTTTGTCCAAAGACATCCTTCGCTTCCTCTGTGGCTCTTACATGAACCTGACAACCACGGACTCTTTCTAAAGTTACAACCAACAACTCAGATACTTGTGAGTAGTGACTTCAGATAAAGCATAACAGTAATACCTGTGATTTTCAAAGAATAGTTGATGCATCTGTAACATTATTTCAAAATCACAACATTTGGCTCCCAATTGTCAAGTTCTACAAGTTAACAAATAAAAAACAGCCTTAAAGTTTGCTAAATATTTTTTCTGGTTATAGAATATATTTAAAACATATTTCCTGAACAACTCAAGATTAGAAGATTAGTAGCACAGTTGGCGGTTGATCAATTTCAATACAATATAACAGGTTTGAGTTGCTACCACCTGAGACCAATCAATTTTGTTCGGTTTCTGAGCTTTGTTGTCAAAAAAATCATCAAAATCAGCTAGAACTATTGAACTCAACAAGAGTAATCCAATTTTGTTTAATTCTAACCTATTTAATAGCGCCTCAAGAAAAAAAGAGGAGATGAGTGGAAGGAGGGCAAAGAGAAGAGAAATTTCCATATAGAGAATATACAAAAAAAAGCACATGACTCAATTATGATAAAAGAAGATAATAGTACCCTATTGGTTTGCTATTTGTTGCAACCATACAATGAGGAAAAGATACAAAGAGAGAAAATAGAGAAGTTTTCATTAAAAAAGGAAGCAGCATAAATTCAAACTTAATGCCAAAACCCATGTATACTTCTTTTTAAATAAAATTATTTTACATTTTCACATTTCCCCACACTTCACCTGCATGGTGATTAGAGAACTACTGGGTTGATCGTCAAGCCAATCATTATCTTTAAAATTGTAGGTGAATAAGCATAAGTTCTTTTGTACAACACATATATTAAATAATATGTTTCTAAAAGAACTCTTCTTCATGATTTATCTAATTTTCATTTTTAATATTTTTATTTTTTTAATAGATATCTTACAAATAGTAAGGCAAAAAATATTTTCATTGTAAAATATGTTTATGTCCTCAAACTTTACAAATTTTCTTATATTTCTATACTTTTATAATTAAAATTACTTTTAAGTTACTTTCTCAGTTGATCTTGATACCAGTCCTGTGGGGTTGATCCTGCCAGTTGTATCATCCATTACTAATTCAAATACCAAGTTTGAGAACAGAGAGAAGCAAATACCTAACAAATTACGATGTTGCTCAAAGATAATCTCAAAGCAACACATTTGTAAAAGCGGTAGGAGGTAATTGCTGGTCCCCCCATCCATTGAACAGTTTACTTACCCAGATCAACTAAATAAAGAATAGCCAATCAGAATGATATATGATAATTAATTAACAATAACATGAAGTTGTTGATCTAAACCATTACAGATTGGCTAATGCATATGAAAACAACACTGAAAAATAATCAGGGTTGGCACATTTTACCTTCACATTGTCCTCCTTTTCCAAATCTGGATACGCCTCACAATTAATAACTGTTGTGTTTCTTGAACTTCTTTCATGCTTATTGTGATTGTCCAAAGATAACATGGTCACCAATCCCTCTGCAGTAACCCCCAAAAAATTGCATTCTGTTTAGCTGACCATAAAAAGCAGAATGAAGAATAGCAGAAATCAAAAGTAGTGTATATAAAATAAAGCAAACACTCGAACATTTCCTAACCATAAGAAAATCAAGTTTAAATAAGTAGAAACAAATCCAAAGAAAGAAATCTAAACAATAAATGAGAATTAAAAAAAAACTTAAAAGAACAGACTGACCATCCTACCAGATGTGGAGCACATTGGGCGACAGTGTTCAAACGAAGAAAAAAACAGCTTAAATTAAAAACAAAAGATCAAACTGCTGGAAATAGGACAGTTCACATCCCGGTTCATTCCCAGACTGGTAAGTACCAGTAGATATTGGAAAGTAGTACCACAAAGAGAGTATTTATGATCAAATAAACAAAAAAAATAAATTACAAGTATATCTAATTGTAATGGAATGATAGGAGTATAATATATAACTTCCAGTGAATCTAACAATTTCATTAAATAATTACATCAAGATATCATTTATCTAAACAGTCCAAAATTCCTCAAAGTTATGGTGATGAACAATGAGCTGAATAAGGGCCTCAATAATTCCTTTAACATCCAACAACGTATCACATTTCAAATTTCAAAGGTAAAGAAATTTAAGGTAGCTGGTAAAGAAGATGAATAAGAAATTCAGCAGGTTGGTTGAAAAAACAAAGGTCTTGATGCAAATGGAGATCCACTGCATACCACCCGCACAGAGATCCATCAGACAATTGTTATACACTGGCATGTCAAACTGTTTCCTCACTAATCCACCAAATTTTTTTCATTTTTTGGCTTTAGCAGCGAACCAGTCAAACAACAGTGATTTAAAAAGCGCTAGGCGCTAAGGTCCAAAAACGCCCGAGGCGCTAGGCGCTCGCCCGAGCAAAGCGAGACGCTAAAATATAAAAATATATAATATAATTAATAAATATAATTATTTAAAAATTTTAAATAAAAATATGCTATTAAATTAAGAAAATCTAAGATTCAAACTCATAATGTCACATTAACAAAATGTTTCAAAATTCAAATACTATTATTAGTATATTGTTAACAGTATACAGTATACTGTTAACAGTATACAGAAGGAGAAGAAGGAAGAGGAGTGTAAGGGGGTGCTGACTGAGAAAAGAGGAAGCGGCAGCGGTAGCGGGAGTGGGAGTGTAAGGAGGCAACGGCAGCGACAGCGGGAGTGTAAGGAGGCAGCGGCAACGGGAGTGGGAGTGTAAGAAGGCAACGGCAGCGGGAGTGGGAGTGTAAGAAGGCAACGGCAGCGGGAGTGTAAGGAGGCAGCGGCAGCGGGAGCGGCGAGCGGCACGAGCGACGACAACGGCAGCGCCTAGGCTAGCGCCTGAGCGCCTTTTTAAATCACTGTCAAACAATAAAGCCAGTCCAACAATCTAACTTTAAAACTGTTTGATACCCTACACAAGAATACTCCATGGACCTGTGAGTAACACCCTCACAAGACACTAAGAAGAAGAAAATGAGGAAGGGCACTAGGATGAATCCGAACAAAAGAAAAAAAGAGTAGAGGCTCAGTGACAAGTAGGATTGAGCAGCCAGCAAAAATAATGCAGCAAAATACATTCAGTAGCTGCTAGATGCACAGGTAAGGGATACAATGAGTAAGAAAAAAAGAGAAGAGACGACAGCAATTTTCATTGAAAGTTAGAGCCAAAAGATAAACTAAGAAGAGTCATTTGCTAGTCTCTGGTTTACAAAGTTAGAGACACTTTCATTCATAATAGAACAAGGACAGAATGAAGGAAAGAAAGTTGAGTGCCGTCAGAAAGAAAAGAGAAAAGAGATGCAATGAAACAAACAATAAGGAAACAAAGTATAAGAGCATTACTCAGAGTGTCAGACAAATAGGCAAGGACGAGTTACATAAATTTCTTTCTACTTCATTTCTTGATAGGCGCATCTTGGATTAGATGGTGTCATATAATTTATCACCCAATCTAAGTTATTACACAACTGCTTACAAGATATGGTGCTCATAGTCTAACTATTCTCAATGCTTATATAATATGGTTTCCTTGGTTTCCTTAGAACTGGAGATGTCATGGATGCAAATATCTTCAAAATGCATCCTCAACAACAAATTCAAGCAACATTACAAATTTCACCAAATCAACAAAAACAAAACATGACTTTCTAATCTACTTATTATGCTAGTGAACCATCAGAAGCATGATCACCAAACAAAGGCTTATAAAATAAGACCTTAAATAAGAATCATTCAGTTGTATCAACTAGTTACCCAATAACAAGTTCAATCATGCATGAGACCTGCATGAACTTGGAAGTATAGGCATGAGCTTATTCCGATTAAAGTCACACCTTAGGCTTGAAACTCTGGTTAATCATTCTTCCATCAAGTGCAGCATGAAAAAATAAAGAGAGGGAAGAACGACAAGGTAAACATGAAGAAAAAAAAAAGAGGAAGTTAATGAATGATAGCATTACCTATGAACCATGGGGATGCAAGAAACAGCATCGATGCTCCAACGCTGGTAATGATGGGAAGGGAGGGAACAAAATGTAGAAGAGTATAAGAAAACAATCAGGGCATTGAAATGGCAAGGGAAAGGATGCGGAGTGGAGTAAGAGACACAAGAAAAGAAAAAAAAAATGGGAGAGAAAAAAATGGATGCAGAGAAGACAAGATGCAAAAGAAAATATAATTAAAAAAGGATTAAATATGTTCTAGTTCAGTAACACTTATGCATAATGAGAAATATCCTATTATATAGTATGCAGGTTATGTAGGAAATTTTCGAAAATCTAAGCTCAAAATTGAATCTAGTAGAACCTGCTCAAAATGGGCCTCAGGTCCAAAGTTGCCCAGCTGATATATTGATCAACTAGGAGGGGCAGATAGCTAGGCCTTAAGTGCATCTATTGAGTGTACAAAAGACAAGTACCAAATGCAACTATCATGGTGGACATTTTGTCGTCACCTGAAATGCATTTGTCAAACACCACAAAGTAGTATTTCAAGGCTTCCTTATAGTTTCACAAGCAGGAATACATGCTCTTTCAATTCCCTACCTACAAGCTTGTCCTTTCATGATGTCATGAAAAAATTATCAATTAATCCAATTAGTATTGACCAAGAACACAAAAACAGAAAAAAAAAAAAAAAAAAAAAGTATATACTTAAAAAATTCCATATATATGTTGGAAATACTTTGCTAAGTTCAACAAACTGCAAATAGTCAACTCTTATAAACCCAACAATAAAAGATGATCGGTAAATAATTGAGTGAACTTAGATTCTAAACTCATCCAGAATTGGACTAGCTCACACTACCACCGTTTATGCTATCCAATGAACTTCAGGAATTGCAACCTTCCAAAATCAATAAATTGCCTCCAAAGGAGAACCCATATAAATATCAAATCATAAACAAGATCCTCTTCTAGCATGTTCACAAATAGTGCATAACAGATAAGAAACAAAACTATGCCAAGAGAGTATTAGTGTACATAATACCTTTGACAGAAACAAAAAATTCATGGTAAAAAACAATACTTCTCCATAATTAGGATGCTTGAAGGTCAGAGCGGCATACAATGGAAGAATGAAATGCAAACCAACCTGATCTTCTTGAATGTGTGTCAGTATCTTCATCTAGAACCACTGTCACAGGCTGGTTTCTCCTAGAACAGTTCCTTCCCTAAACCGACAAGGATAAGAAAAAACAACAAATATTCAAATAGATAATTCATGTGAAAATCACAAATAGTAAAAAAAATTTGATAATGTATATGAACTAACAATGGGGAAAGAAAATGATGGGGATGCTTACATCTACGAAAACAACGTCAAAATTTTCCAAATAGAAAAGAGCTGGCAATGAAGTACAACTAGAAAAGGAAAAAAAAGGTAAAGCCAAATGTCTGATGTATGTCAGCAATCTAAAGCATGGACCAGATTACTAGTCAATAAAAAGTTCAAACAAATTAAGGATTTGGTTAAAAGGCAAGCCAAGTAGGGAGACCACTCTAAAATTTCCCAAAACTTAACGAGAGTCTAGAAGATTTTCCGTGTGGAATTTTCATCAAACGGGCATGAATGAGACAATGAACTAATGGTCACAAACCACAGCACAATAAGTAGTAATAATAATAATAACTTATAAGATCAAAATCACACAATGAACAAGTCAACGATTAGAAGCTACAGAAGGACAAATCGACCTGAGGAAATCCTCTTGAAGATGAGAGCAACTGGACCTCATCCTCAATTGCATCTACATCAATGAGCAAACTATTTGTACCATAATTGGTTGATAGAAGAGAACCCTGCTGCTGTCCAGTGGGATGATTGCACCGAGTAATGGAAACAGATGTTCTTTGTGATACCGGAGGATGCCTGGAACCAGAAGATGCCTCCTGCTCATGGCCCTCAAGAGGGGGAGTGTTGAGGTCCACACCAAGAACCATTTTAGCTCGGATATCGTCTCTGGCACGCCTCTTTGTAACTTGCCTCGATGGCCCAAGCTTGGTCATGCTATATATGATATGAGTCACAGCTTTGCCTCACAAGTAAAACCTAGATTTACGAAAAATGCATCATCAAAACATTCAAGAGTAACCCTTAGAATTGTCTCATCAAAACCCGCAAGCCCCAACTCGTTTGCTAGAGAAGATACCAAAATCCTCATATAGAGTTGCCGATTGGAAAGAAAAGGCAAATTTTGGCCGGAAAAGAGGGAAGCACAGGCACCGAGGGATCGTACCGCGACGACCAAGATTAGGGCGTCGGTCAGGAAAAAAGCGGAAGAGAGCCTCCTCGGTTAGAAGGGCGAACAAGGGATAAATGGGAAGGGAGTGAAGAGTCGCCGTCTTTTCACTCAGCCCTCTCTCTCTCTCTCCGTCGTCTCTGCATCGGTCCTCCGCTGGCCGCGTCGTCAATTGAAATAAGAGGACGATGTTTATATCGTCCCGTTACAATGCATGTAACCTTCACCAAACCGTTAAAACACGCATAACGATCCCAACGAGTCGTTATCTTCCGTGTCGGCATTAACGGAATAAGCAATTGCCGCAATGTACGCACAAAAACCTTCTACTGGCCGTCCCCGCATATATCCCTGTCCTGTGATTGGGCGAAACAGGGGTCCCAGTACAACTGGGTCCCAGACGCCTTGAGTGTATGAGGAGAGTAGGCTATGAACGAGTTGAGAAAGTGCATAATCCAATTTACTAGTACCCTTTTCTGTCCCTTGGGCAAACCCCCGAAGACCACAGGCGAACCATGTCCAGTGTCCATCAAGGATATCAAGTGAGGTTCTCGCCAAATCCGGGATCAATCTTTGGCTACAAGGTTCCGGCAAACTTGCGGGTTTTTTGCTCAGTTTTTTATCCTTTTCGCTCGCAGAAACTGGCAAAAGGTGCGTCTTTTCTTGGTATCAGCGGCGTTCTAGTCCGCGATTTCATGCCGTAATTCTCACAAAAAAATAGGTTTTCAGATCTCAGAGTGCCGTCTGCCTTCGATCCCAGAACAAAGAACGTTTCTTTTCTGTAAACGATTGAGGTTCGATCTGGATAGAATCAGCTTCTTCTCTTTCTTGTTTTCCCTTCTGTGTTCGCGGAGAAATAGGCTTCATACTTCTAAAAAATGGATTTTTAGCTAGAAATGAGGTCACTTTGAGGAGAAGAGATTTTTTTTCTGGAATATTGTGGAAGAAACGTCTTTCGTTGATCCTTGTTCACCGGAAGGTGGGCTTGTCGGATAGGAAAAATGATACAGCTGTTGTTCCTGGTGCTCTTCGCGGAGGGGGCGGTGGCACTGATACTGATATGGAAGGTTGGGCCGCTCCGGGAGCTGGCGATGAGGGGGTTGGACCAGCTGAAGACGGGGAAGGGGCCTGCGACGGTGAAGACGCTGGCATGCACAATGTCGGTGATCTTGGCATCGAGCGTGGCCAGCATCCTCAAGATCCAGAACAGGGCCGCCAAGCTTGGAACCGTCACTCCAATGGATCAAGTCCTGTGGAGGACCCACCTACTTGAAGCCTCGCTCATAGGTATGCAGTATTTGTGTATCATTATAATGTCTGCAGAATATTAACGTTTTAAGGTTATGTCAAAGGGACGTCAAATTTATGGGATTTATATAGTTGGAATTATTGTTTAGCTCAATTATCTATATTGCAGCAATCTGCTGATGCTCACAAGCTATCATGTTCTTGCCATGGTTGGTAATTAGGTTGATCGGAGTGAGTGAGAATTGAAACAATAGATAACCGGTCAGTGTTAATCGTTTTCCTAGATCAGTAAAATTTCCGAATCTGATCAATTTGTGACTCGCCGACATGGCTGAAACTTATGTTCAGTGTTATAGCGGTCATGATGCATTGCTTTGGTGTATGTGGTTTTCTCGAGTTAGTTGTTACCGTGTATCAGTGGAATGAAATGCAAAAATTTCTTAGTCAGTGGGGCTTAGTGTCCAGAGAATGATTTGCTAACTTAAGTTGTTCGAGGATCCGTAGAATGATTTGGTAACTTAAGTTGTTCGAGGATCCATAGACCAACATGGAATACTTACATTAGATATCATGGCCCCAGATATGGTACTAATATGAGATGGATTCTAACGCTCATTTTGCTTGTAATTATACTTTTTGATTTGGTTCCATGGAAGCAATAATCTACCAGTGACACTGTTAGGAAAATGATATTAATGGCATAACACATAAGCCTCTCCGGTCAATTTACAATTCTTGAAGAAGTGCAGGTGTGTGTCAGCTACAAAAGGGGTCTGATGGGATATGGAATAATATACAAGCATAAAGCAAGACAGTGAATATTGTAAAGTGAAGCTAATTCTTTCTGAGAATTTTTATTTTTAGGTACGATAAGACTGTTATGAGGTTGTAACCTATCATCTGATACCATCTACTTGATTTCTAGAATTTCTTTCTTTGATTTCTGTGTCAATATGAGTGTGACAAAGTTCTTGAAACAACTAAACTTTTTTCCACACAACTGATTTTGTTGTCCATCACTTTAGCTGTACCAAAGTGAAAGCAAATTCTTCTATGGAGATTTAATGCCTTCTCTTTTCATCCTGTCCCTTCAAAGCATAACTAAACTTAGGGTGTCTCCCTCTTTGTCTGCTGAATGAGTTCCATGACATAGTCAAATTTATGTTGCAATTGATTAAACATATTCCCGGATTATAGGTCTTCCAACCTACATGTGTGGGACCACCAGCATTTGAATAAGACAATTCTGTGATTCAGGAATTTAGGTTACATTATCAAACTGCATGAGCTATCATTTAAAAGCATTTGGTTGACCTGATCGGCCTCGTGAAATTAAGCCTTCTGTCGCTTTGTTTTCGTGATCGGATATTTGATTGGTGTCCTCCAGAGCATGAGTTGGTTGTTAGATATCATCTATTATGATTTGTTTCTTATGGTATATCCACTAAAGTCGCACTCCATCTGATTTGATAAATTTATTGTCTCAACAAGTGTACCCTTACATGCTACTCTATTCAAAACAGAAATCCTAAAACTATGTTTGATTTTGCAGGCTACACCCTTTTTCTTGCTTTAGTGATTGATCGGTTGCACCACTACCTCAGGAAGCTGGTCAGTTTGAAAACAACAGTTGGTACATCTCGAGAGGAAGTTGATAATCTTAAGAAAGAGCAGCAAAGTTTTAAAGAGAAGGAAAAGACATCTCTAAGTGAGAGAAAAAAGCTCCATGAAGAAGTGACACGCTTAAAAGAGAGGCTGCAGAAGTTAAAGTTAGATTCGGAGGAGCATGAGAAACGGGCGCAGACTGCCGAAGCCCATGTTGCCGCCCTCCAAAAACAATCTGAAGAACTACTACTTGAGTACGACCATCTGTTGGAGGACAACCAAATCCTTCAGACTCGGGCTCTAGCATTCAGAAATTGAGTCTCATGTGACCTCATGCTGAGAAGCTTCTTTTCTTTCTCTTCCACTAACATGAGCTTACTGTTAATCACATACAACCTGCCTGGATGTCATTGTTTGAAAATCTTGATTGCTGTCCTCAGTATCGTCTATCTTCTTTCTTTCTTTATTTCTTTCTTTTTTTTTCTTTTCTCTCGAGCAAAGGGAGATAAGCCGCCTGATGTAGACTATATTGCAGAATCTACATTTATATCATTGATATCAGCATCAGTTTCTTGGAGAAAGTTGCTAGCATTGTAATAAACTTTCATCTAGACCGAAAGGCATCACTTTAAAATTCCTTTGGTTCCTAATTGTGGGTATATAAGCCTTGATGATTTCTTTCACTATTATAATGACATCAGGACTGCACATTATCTCTAAATTACATTCATTCTTTTGTTTAGCTACTGACCTTGATGATGAATGTCCACCATACTATGATCAGCAGCCCCTTTACAGGTGCATTAGCCTTGGAAACTCTTCTTCACATTTTGGCCATGTGACTGCCTAATATAAGTTGCATTTGGTCATTTGATTGCACCTGAATTCATTGTAGCTCTTGTTGTTCGACAGACATGAAGTTTTTTACTTGCCCATTTTTACTTTTCCTCTCTCTCTCTCTCTCTCTCTCTCTCTCTCTCTCTCTCTCTCTCTGCTCTCTTCAATTCCTCCAGTTTAATCTTACATCGGCAGTGAGAGGAGATTCGAGTGCAACCCTCACAATTTAGTTCCACGATTATAGCTTAAAGATTGGTTCCGCAAATTTCTCGAGAAACATGTTTGTATAGATGTATAGATAGATAGATAGATACATCAGTCCTTGGCCTAAATCTTAGCATATTTAGGGAGCGAGTGTTGACAGATGTGGGCCAGTGTAGGGGTTGGAAGGTACAGTGTCTCTTTGTATCACGAGAAAGTGATGTGATGTATTGGCTGGGATTGCTAATTGATCACGCTATGCAACCCATCTGTCAGATTACCTGTGATTAATTGCACTTTGTATCTTAATCTCGTTCACCATAAAAGACAGATTGGTGTGTCACACATCCAAACAAGACGACGTCTCCTCCTCTTGCTTCAACTTTAATCTTAACATTATATATACACGCATACGGCACGATATGAAAGTAATTGATGGCTGCCCAAATCATGTGAACTACAAGATGGGGGTCACCATTCGGGTGGTCGTCTCTCTCATTGCACTATTATGATGATCTGATCGCCAAGAGGTCGTCTTCGTATGACAGCAAGCTACGCAAGTTCACGTGCCCGCTTTCTATCAGCAGAAGCAACACACTGCAACAAACACAACGAGCCAAGGGAAAGAACAAAGCAAGCATCGCACCGCCTCACTGCGGCCAAGACCCACCGGGACCATGGGATGGAGGAGGAGGAGGAGGAGGAGGGGCGCCGGCTTGTGCGGTCATGGCCAGCTCAAACTGCTTCAGCGAGAAGGGAGGGAGGGTAAGGAACTGTGCGGGCGGCTTGTCCCAGCTTGTCTTGCTGCTCATGCCGTTGAATCCGTCCCACCCTATGTGAGCGACGTGTTGCACGTCGGTGGGGAACCCAATTTCCATCTCCACCTCTTCATCCTCTTCCTTGTAGAACACGAGATGCTGGGATAAGCTCTTGAGGCTCCTCACTAGTTTCTGGAACCCTGTAGAAATGCAGGGCCTTGGAAAAGGAAGAACGCCGGACGAGCTCCTGGGCTTCCCACCTTAAGAATAGAAGTCATGTCAAGGCATAGCACTCGATGAGTAGCTCTGCAGCCTGCAGGATCATATGATAATTACTATGCAGAAGAAAAGAAAACTACTTGTTGCCGGAGCTGCCTCAGTCTGTGCTGCTCTCTTCGGTTGGTTCTCGCATACTGCAACGCTCGACTGTGAGACACAGCCGCCGGAGAAGGGAAGGATGACGAACCTATCCATTCGCCGGTCTCTCATTGCCTCATGAATGCGAGAGAGAGAGAGAGAGAGAGGTGTAGTGGTG